CCCAAAGTCACCCAGCTGACTTCCATGCCTAAGGCGGAAACTAGAACTCCCAGTCTCCTGGTGATTGGCCCAAAGTCACCCAGCTGACTTCCATGCCTAAGGCAGAAACTAGAACTCCCACAATCTCCTGGTTTCCAGGTCAGCACCTTCACCGCCTTATCAAACTACATCAAGCTTGGTTTGGGCTACTTCTGATGTTTTTAATCTTCCTCTCGACAGTTCAACCATCAAGGGACTATCACGGTGAACGAAGAAGGGACCGAGGCTGCCTCCGTAACCACCGTGGGGTTCATGCCCCTTTCCACTCAAATCCGCTTTGTCATTGATCACCCCTTCCTCTTCCTCATCTACGAACACCGTACCAGCTGTTTACTCTTCCTGGGGAGAGTTTCCAACCCCAGCAAGTGTTAAGCGGCAGAATCACATCCGCCGGGGACAACTGCATGCCGAAAACTTGGGATTCATTTACACTATTACTGGTTTTTATCGGCAGAGGTAGAGCCCAGGTCAATCACAGCCCTGCCTTCCCCCACCCTCCCCCCAAGCTGATACAGATAGTCCTTGACTTACAACCGCAACTGAGCCCAACGCGACCGTTGCTAAGTGAAACATTTTGTTTTGCCTCATTTTACCACCTTTCTTGCCACAGCTGTTAAGTGAAGCACGTTAGTCACCTGATTGTTAAGTGAATCTGGCTCCCCCCCCCCGTGTCCCCACGTAACTTTGAATGGTCACTAAATGAACTATTGTTAAGTCGAGGACTAGCTGTATCTTCCAAATGAGCTAAGGTGGCCAACTCCGGAACAGCAACAGAGAGAGAGAAAAAAAGAAAGGAGACACACAGAGAGAGAGAGAGAGAGAGAGAGAGAGAGAGAGAGAGAGAAAGAAAGAACGAATGAGGGAAGGAAGAAAAGAAAGCAACAGAGAAAGAAAGAAAAAGAAAGGAGACAAAGAGAGAGAAAGAAAGGAAGAAAGAAAAAGAAAGAAAGAAAGAGGGAGGGAGGGAAGGAAGGTTTAATTTTCAAAAGATGGCTTCTGAGTCTTTTTAGAAGCACTTGTGATAAAACTGGCTCTATCTCAATATCATTATGATTATAAAATTCATTTATATTTAATAAAAAAAATGTGAAACATTTGTTATTAGTCACAGCCAAGAAGCGGTCTTAACTTTTTTATTTGGGCTTGCATCAAGGTTGGAAAATTCTGCCAGGGTGACGACTTGTAGCGCCTGCAGAAAATGCTGAAAAGGTCGACTTAAGGGGGTTCTGAGGTTAATATGCAAAAATCACCATCACTTTTATTACTTATTCTATGCATTTTGTGGAGATCTTAGCGCTGTCTGAGCTTGGGGGTTTGCTTGCAGGCATTTCGTCAGCTGACTAGCTAACACTATCAGTACAAGAAGAGAGTGGGGTTTGTGGAACGGAGGAGGAGGAGGAGGAGGAGAAGGGAAGGAGGACTCTGAGGTCCTTGGTGCTCTCTGAACTGGGTTGTTCTCTTGCAGACGTTTCATGACCCAACTAGGCAACATCATCAGGGCTAGAAAGGCGTGGAGTTTGCTACTGGTAACGTTGCCTAGTTAGGGGTAACAAAATACCTGCAAGAAAACATCCCAACTCAGAAAGCACCAGCAACCCCTCACTGAGCTAAAAATACTCTCCTCTCGCAGAATCTAAATGATAAAATCTGTGATTAGCCATCCTGCATTATTTATTTCTGCAATTGTTCCAAGCTAATATTTTGTGGCCTGCTGGAATGTTATTTCTCCAACACAATCCTGCATTCCTTCCCTTTTTTATAAACGCTTACTAGTTGATCCATGGCTGTTAATATGCTCGTTGACAATTCAACAGTGATAACAGATAATCAGAGTTGGAAGGGACCTTGTAGGTCATCTAGTCCAACCCCACGCCCAAGTGGGAGACCCTACACCATTTCTGACGAATGGCAGTCCAATCTCTTCTTGAAAGCCTGCCAGGGATGACGCTCCCACAACTTCCGAGGGCAACTTCTGTTCCATCGGTTGATTGTTCTCACTGTCAGAAAAATTCCTCCTTATTTCCAGGTTGAATCTCTCCTTGTTCAGTTTCCATCCATTGTTCCATATCTGGCCTTTGGGTGCTTTGGAAAACAGCTTGATCCTCTCCTCGCTGGGGCAGCTCCTCAGATATTGGAAGACTGCTCTCCTGTCTCCCCTAGTCCTTCTCTTCACTAGACTAGCCAAGCCCAGTTCCTGTAACCGTTCTTCATGTGTTTTAGCCTCCAGTCCCCTAATCGTCCTGGTTGCTCTTCTCTGCCCTCTTTCTAGAGTCTCAACATCTTTTTTTATAGTGTGGTGACCAAAACTGGATGCAATACTCTAGGTGTGGTCTTACTAAGGCTTTATAGCGTGATATTAATACTTCCCTTGATCTTGATTATATCCCTCTGTTAATGCAATTTAGGACTACATTAGCTTTTTGGGCTGCTGCTGCACACCAAAAAAGTTAATGCAATCCTAAATTACATCAATAGAGGGATACAATCAGAGATATTCCTGTATATCAAACTGTCCTTTTAACCAGTCATGAAGTCCTACCACCAAGTTTTAAAAGGAAGAGAAGACGGAAAACACAATCGCAACCGAGGACTCACGAGCATCGCAAATTTTGCAAGAAAGCTAAATATTTGCTTTGCAGGCCCTTAATGTAACCATTAACTTCTGTCAGTACCCAGGAGGGTATTTACTGAGTGACAAGCAGTTGGGGAAACAAAAACAGATCAGAGCCTGTCTGATCAAACATCACTTTGAAGTACAGGTAATCCTTAACGTACAACCATAACCGAGCACAAAATTGATGTTGCTAAGTGGGAAATTGGTTAAGTGAGTTTTGCCCCATTTAACGACTTGCCAAGTTGGTTAAGTGAATCACCACAGTTAAGTTAGTAACAGGGTTGTTAAGTGAACCTGGATTCCCCTCCCTTCAGGAGGTTGTAAAAAGAGGACCACGTGATTCAGGGAGGCTGCAACCGTCATAAACACCAGTCAGTTGCCAAGCGTCTGAATTTTGATTCCGTGGGGAAGGCTGCAATGGTGCTAAGTATGAAAAACGGTTGTAAGTCACTTTTTACAGGGATCTTGTAACTTTGAATGGTCACTAAATGAACTGTTGTAAGTGGAGGACCCCCTGCAATGTAGTTGGAAGCCCTTGGGGTAAAAATCACAGTTCTTGAGTGGGAGGGAAAGCTCTCATGGGGCACTAGAAAAAGGCTTTAATTTATTGGAAGTTAAATAACAACCAAATTAAGAACAAAACAAAACAAAAAGATGTGTTTTTTTCCCTTTCATTGGAAGGAATCAACAAGAAAACGGAGCGTCCTGCAGAAATGCTCCATCGCAGTCGTAAGTCTGTGCCCAGAGAGAGAGCATTGCGTGCCACCTCTGGCATGCATGCCACAGGCTCACCATCACAGCCTTATACCATTGCAGATGGGTGGCTGTCCAGTCTCTTCAAACTTAAAGACCTCCAGTGATGAAGCATCTACATCAGGGGTCTTCAAATTGGCAGCTTTAAGACTTGTGGACTTCAACGCCCATAATTCCTCCTCTTCCAGTCATGTTAGCTCAGGAATTCTGGGCGTTGAAGTCCACAAGTCTTAAACTTTGCCAAGTTTGAAGACCCTTGGTCTACAACTTCTGAAGGCAAGCCTTTCCACTGGTTAATTGTCCTCATTTGTTAGGAACTTTAAATTCCAGGTTGCTTCTCTCCTGGATTAATTTCCACTCATTGCTTCTTGTCCTGCCCTCTGGTGCTTGGGAAAATAAATCGACCCCTTTCTGTTTGCAGCAGCCTCTCAAATACGGTGTTTTTTTTTTTAAAGAACAGCAATGAAAGATAAACCTATTTTAACTCGTGCAAGCATGACTTTTGCCCTTCAGGCACATGCAGTGGAAAATATTGTTTTGAGAAATCCAGACTTAAAAACAAAAAAGTATGTTTACACATCAGGGTCTCGGAGTACCCTTCTGATAAACCTTGCAGCTGTTAACATATAATCTGGAAAAGTTTCTTTAAACAGCACTCCTGCATATATTTTTTTCGTATCGCTCACCAAGGTGTCCAAAAATGCTGCACCTGGTGTTCTAATGGTCACACTGAATAAACTTTCAATGTTTTTTTCTCCCAGCTTCTGCAGAAAATGAGGGATTTTCTTAAGACATGCCAGGCTAAGCTGCTTTGGTTAGCATTTATTGCAGCCTTATCCAACCTGAATAACTGAAACGTTCAAGTAGATGTGCCAAAGGTGCTTTTTTCCCCTTGAAAATCATCCCAAAGGTGCTTTTTCAAGAGGCAACTGGACTTCCTTGTTATACTTTGAAGACGTTTCGCTTCTCATCTGAGACGCTTCTTCAAGAATTGAAGACGGTTCTGAGAAGCAAAACATTTTCCAGGGAAAACAAAATAAAAAACAAAGGAAGTTGCCTTTTGAAAAGCACTTTCGGGACAGCCACGATCTGGATGACTAAGGTTCTCCGTAGACTTTCAAACAAGTGGTCAATGACCTTCTAACTTCTAGCAGAGCACACACACCAAAACCCAGAACTTTCTCCACATTTCCTACAATGCTTCTGGTTCAGCTTAAAACCGTGCACTGTCACGGGACAGGAAGTGAACACTCACCACAGCAATAACAGGGATCAGCACTCCGAGGTTGCCTGCACTGCTGGAGGCCTGTGAAAGACAATGGAGATCAATTGAGACCAATTAATGTCCCCCATAATCCCTGGGCAACTGAATGGAGCTAGCCAGATGTTTTAATGGCCGGGTGCCCTTCCTATTGCCAATGCGGAGTTTTGTTCAGCAGATACATTCTCAGTGTGCCCGGAATATCTGCCTCTACCTAGGATTGAACTCACAGCCTTCTGATTGTGAGGCGAGAGCTCCACCTCTCAGCCACCACACCACTCTAACTCCCACTCTCCTGGTGATTGGCTTTCGTGCCTAAGTGGGATTAGAACTCACCATCTCCTAGTGATTGGTCCAAACTCACCCAGCCAGCTTTCACAACTAAGCCAGGACTTGAACTCCCAGTATCCTGGTGATAGGCTCAAAGTCACCCAACCACTTTCATGCCTAAGGTGGGACTAGAATTCACCATCTCCCAGTGGTGATTGACCCAAAGTCACCCAACTGGTTTTCTTTTCATAAATAAATTTTATTTAAGTTTTCAAATTTTAAAAAACATAAAATAAACTTTATACATCGTTATCAACATCAAGACATCTTTTGTTATCTCCTTACATTTTTCAGTATATGTATTTACTTATTCCTTTACCATTACATCTTACTCTTGCTATAAATCAACATCTTTTATCCTTACACATCAATCTTCTCCACGGTACATTTACATATTCCCTCATTCTTTTCCTAACTGCCATTTTATTTTCTTTTTATTTCTAAACCACTCGTCCCAGGCATCCCAGGCCCTATAGTAAATTGAACCTTCACGCCCAACTGGTTTTCATAGCTAAGGCGGGACTAGAACTCCCAGTCTTCTAGTCCCTAAGCCAACACCTTAACTACCAGACCAAACTTGCTCTTTGTTTCATTTTAACTCCATTGAAATTTTAATAGTTGGCTTTAATTATTTTAAATATTTTGGGGGTTATTTTTTTCGTTTCTCGACTCTGTGTCTTGCCTGGAGATGGGCAGCTATAATGCAATTGATAAATAATATGCTTTATATAATAAATAGGGACAGACTTCCATTCTGAAGATTGATTGTAGCCTACCTTCAGTGCGGGCCCTTTCTCGCTGGCCCGCTCGCTGGCCCTTTTTCCTTCCAGCCCCAGCTGCACAAAAAGTTCCAACAAATTCATCAGCAGCTCGTCCACAAGGTGTTCATCCTGTATATTTGCAGCTATGTTAGCCAGGGCATTAATAACAGCTAAGGAACAGTGTCTGATGAGAAGGGAGGAGGAAGGGCAGAAGAGGGGTGGAAAAAAAGAAGAGGAAAAAAGAAGAGAAAAACCAGAAGCATCAACTTTCTGATGAAATGTTTCATTTATTTTTTTTCTCGTGTTCAAAGCTGGGCAAGATTATGAAAGGGAGTTTGAATCTCCTCTGAAAAGCCTTGAAAAACAGGACTCCAGGTGAGATGGGTGGCATTGAAATTTAATAACTAAATACAGGTAACGGTAAAGAGTTTCTCCTGTCCAGTTGTGTCCAACTAGGAGGCAGTGCTTATCTCTGTTTCTTAGACAAGGGAGCCAGCTTTGTCCGAAGACATTTTCTGTGGTCACGTGGCCAGCATGGCTACATGCCAAAGGTACACAAAACGCTGTTACCTTCTCATTGAAATGGTACCTATTGATATTGGAATTCATTGTTGGAATGAATTTCTATGCAACAACTACAACAGTATTGAGTCAGTTGAGGGCAATATTTACAAGTTTGGATCTATGGTATATACTCTATGCTCTTTTGTTCTAAGTAGAGTTTCCTGTTTCCTGTTATGGTTATATGGTTGAGCAGTAAAGCACATGGTGACTGTGCTCTTTGTTTTTTCTGTATGGTGCTTTATATAAACAAAAAATTTCGGACTGCTTAGCGGACAGAAACTGGGGCAAGGAACGGGAACTCATCCTGTCCCATGGTGCTTGGGTTTTAAACCTGGGCTTTCAGCTTTCTAGCTGACAAGCTCAGCATCTTTAACCACTGAGCCATCGCAAGCATAAATAAAATAGAATAAATCCAGGTGGCACCAGATCTAACACCCTGATCAAAAAAATCTGGATAGACGTTTTGACTGTCGTGTGAAGCATCAGTTCCTAGATTAATATAATCACCCTCTTCTTTTAACAACCCCATAATCCCTTGAGGGGTGGAGTCTGGGCAACTGAATGAAGCTAGCAGAGTGTTTTACTGGCCGGATGCCCTTCCTTTTGCCAGTGTGGAGTTTTGTTCAGCAGATAGATTCTCATGGTGCCCAGAGAGAGAAATATCTGCCTCTACCTAGGATTGAACTCACAGCCTCCTCACTGTGAGGTGAGAGTTCCACCTCTAGACCACCGCACCACTCCTTTCTAGATTAAAATAATGACATGGCAAAAATCTACAAACGTTCACATCAACTAGTAATTAAAAAAAACATATTGCAGGAGTACAGCAAAAAAAAAAAAATTAAGTTACCTGTATCCGTGATCTTTATAGTCTTTAGTCGCAGAGTATACAATGGAGCTTGCTTTCACGCTGATCTGCTGAAACAAATTCCACACCTCCTGGTAAATATATTGCTGGAAATAAGGAAACAAAACCCAAATTAGCAGGGGGGAACAATAACCTTGGGTACAAACAATCAAAAGAAATGAAAACAATTAACCCTGACACCATTAACGGGAAAACGAATCTAACACGATCTCATAAAAGATGTCTAGAAGCTTCAAAGGAAATGGAGGAAGTTTTAGGTCCCAAGATGTCCTCTTGAGAAGTGAGACTTAGCAGAATCTTTGCAAGCTGTTCCTAGATGTAAAAAGTCAGTTGAGCCCAGCTTGCTTTTAGAGTAATCCCAACTTGGCACATGGGGGGTCAAAGGCTTTGGGTAGACCAAAATGCCACTTTGGCAAAGTTGGAGGGAAGGAGAAGGCAGGAGAGGAGGAAGAACCTGCACAAGAGTTAAAACGCTCACCAAATCTCCCCCTGCAATGACAGCCCTCTAGCTAAATTCTCGATTAGTAAGAGGAGGCGAGAGACACAACACTCATTAGACTAATAGGAGGCAGTGTCAGCCTTGGAAGCTATATTTTATGCAGAAACTTCCAAGCTATATATATAGAGAGAAAGGGTCTTATTTTTGGAAAAACATGGTAATTCTACCAATGCATAAGAATCTCCTCAACTAAGGGTTAACACTAGCTTGGCACCAGATAAGGGTCAGTGGAATTCAAGGCAAGTTATTTCGCTTGTGGCTACGTAGGGATTCCAGGCTGATTCCTCTTTTGACTCCGCCCCCAGATTCTGCCTACATTCTGCCTCCTGGGACTCCAGACTATATTCCACCACAAATACCAACTAAAGATAAATAAAGCAACCGTCAACAGGGAGCTGATCAGCCTTCAGCGGATACTGACAGTCAATTACCCAGAATGACAGTTGGAATTGACAGCTTCCCAGGCAATTGACACATCCTTACATTTCCGGTGATAACTAAACAGCCCAGCTGGTCAATGATGAGCACGTCAAGAGGAGACGGTGGCTGGCAGAACTTCTGCTGCAAAATCTGGAGAATGGGTTCCATCACTTTGGGGGTGTCCCTCAGAGCCACTGCTATGTGGCCCAGTGCACGGATTGTGTGGTCTGGAATGAGGTGGGCTTCCCTTAAAGAAAACAACACATTTTTTTTAAAAAAAATGCATGCGTATGAATGTGAAAAAATTACCAATAAAGGAGACTATTTGTAACTCAGAGTTGAGGGGTCTTTGATGCTTTCTGAGCGCGGTTGTTTTCTTGCAGACGTTTCATGACCCTACTAGGTAACTTCATCAGCGCTAGAAGGGATTGGAGTTTGAAGAGAGGAGGAAGAGGACGACAACAACAACTATAGGGTCCTTAGTGCTCTCTGAATTTCATCATTTGCTTGCAGACGTTTTATTACCCAACTAGGTAACATCATCAGTGCTAGATATGAGTGATAGAGAGGACGAAGGGTCCTTGGTGTTCTCTCAGCTTGGTTGTTTTCTTGCAGATGTTTTGTTACCCAAACTAGGTAACATCATCAGTGCAACACTGATGATGTTACCTAATTTGGGTAATGAAACATCTGTGAAAAAATTATTCACCTAGCAATGGAATATTCCAGAGATATTCCCTTCCATTTTCTTCTGGATCACGCTGAATGTCCTCCCGGACCATGCCAATTCAGGGAAGACTTCACTTTCTGGAAACAAAAGCAGCCTGAGATGTTTTGCACCTGGTACTGTGGATAAAACGGGTTGGTTTCAGGTCCAGGACTCCCTAGAACATCTCAAACTGCTTCCACTTCAGATAATTTACTTCTGGAATCTGCTCAATTGCTGCGGAACAGCACGGGGAAAAGAAAATGGAACATTTTATTGCCAGACTGATGCATTTTTGACATCCTCAGATGCCCATACGTACGTCCATGCCCTCCTTTGACCGGAAGGACAATCGTAAAAAGCCTTTTAGGTTGCGGAACTATCTCGTGGAAAACACCAAATTCCAGACTGTCAAAGGATCTGCGCTAAAACCGGCTGATTTTAGGCCTTTTAAAGGAAAGAGACTACAACCCCCCCAAACCAGGCCTCGGGGAAGGAAGTAGAGATCTCCTGCTCGAGCAGGGAGGGTTGGACTAGAAGATCTCTAAGCCCCCTTCCCAACTCTGCATGATCACTCTGTAGCATTTAAGTCACTTACTTGTCACTTTCTTGGGAGATGTAGAGACGGTTTGATAAACTGGCTAAGAAGGCTTCAACGATGACGGGATCGATGGTCAGCCCGGCTTTCAAACACCTGCAAGATATATAATTTGACTAGAACAGGGGTGGTCAAACTGGATTTTTTTGAGGGTCAGAACAGCATTGTGGTTCTCCTCTGCGGGCTGGCGAAGGGGGGGGGAGAAGACGGGACGGTCACTTCCTGCAGCCCCCTGCCAGCCAAAATGCACCATGGGGCCACCGCATGCCGCCCTTGTCAGATCCCTAAAAGTGATACTGCCACTCCATTAGGAGAAGGGGGGGAGGACACTTGAATTCGATTCATTGCTATTGCCTGCGACAACTGCTATTTTATGACTTGTATCCTTTTTTCCTTTTCTTTTGAAGACGTTTTGCCTCTCATCCAAGAAGCTTCCTTCCCTTCTCCCCATCATTCCAGTCAGAGCTTCTTGGCTGAGGAGCGAAAACAGGGGTGGGATCCTGCCGGCATAGCAACCGGATCGGTGAGCTGCGCGTTGTGTGCACAGTACTTGCAGAACAACTTCTCCTGCAAGCAATGACCATTTCTTGCTGACGCGCCGCGCAAAGCAACTAAGGTGAGAATAGTTTAGTTTAGTTTACTTTTATTGTCATGGCACCTCGTACAACAAAATCGAACACCATCTTCGGTGCACATCATGACCATGAAAATAAAACACAAACACACATCCTTCACATTCTATACATTGAATTAAAAACCCTTGATATTGTATTAATATTGCACTATACAGCAGAATTCAAAAGAGTTATTGCCCTGGGATAGAAGCTGTTTTTCAGCCTATTTGTCCTTATTTTTAATTATCCTGTACCGTCTGCCAGATGGTAATAGTTCAAAAAAAGGATTCCCAGGATGAGATGGATCTTTGAGGATGTTCTGAACTTTCTTAAGGCAGCGGGAGCCATAAAGCTCTTCCAAAGAGGGGAGAGGGCAACCCATGATCCTCTGAGGGGCAATGACCTTAACCCTCTGGAGTGCTTTCCTATCTGCTACTGTGCAATTGGCAAACCATACAGAGGTGCAATAAGTTAAGATACCCTCTCTGGTGCAGCGGTAGAAGGTCACTAGCAGTTTTCCATTGAGTTGTTCTTTTCTGAGAAGCCTCAGGTAGTATAATCTCTGTGGCCCTTTTGACCAGGGCTGCAATGTGGGCACCCCAGGTCAGGTCCTCTTTTAGGGTAACACCCAGAAAATAAAAGAATAAAGGACAGCCTAGAGCCCGGCAGGTGGGAGGGCCCAACCGAAGAAAAGACCATCTTCAGATTGAACCAGTTAGGTGTCAACTGCTCTTCAGAGCTACCAGTTCTATAGAACCGGGCCAAACCGGTAGAATTCCACTGAGTGAAATGTCTTCAAAGAAAAAAAACCAAACAAGACACTCCAGTTGCCCCTTGGGAAAAAAGCACCTTTGTGATAGTCCTCCAGTTACGACCGCAATGGAGTTGGCAAAATCTGCCGTTTGCTAAGAACCCAGGGTGGCTTTTCCACCTGCCGAGAGAACCAACCTCTTTGCACACCTCAGGTAAAAACCTACCTGCAGATGTTATCGATTGCGACGTCCCGGAGCTGTTCGTACATGGAGGCCTCGTTTTTCTTGCCCGACATTACGCTCAGCGTGGACTCGGCGTGCTCGTTGGTTATGCTGATCTTGATGTCATTGGTACCTAAGAGGAAAAGAAACGGAGAGGGTTGCTTGGTGAGATTTTCCTACTCCAAAAGCGTTTTAGTATTAAAATAAATTTGATAAAAATCCCCCCCAAATCCGATTTAAATTAAAGAAAAAAAAATCCAATTTTTTAGATTAAAAAAAAATCATCAATTTTTATCCAACCTGCTGACACCCTACCCCCCTCTAAACACCGCTGAAGATGTCACTTAGCCTGATAAGAAAATGTTTGAAAACCGGCCCAACAAACTCAGGAGAATGAAACCTCCACCCTCAAAAGAAAAATCAATTGGGCGGCTTAATGGATCAGGAAGACGCAACAGAAAGTGAAAACATGAATTGGACAAAGGTTGCAGAGGGCATCAAATAAGTATGTCCAGCCCTGGCCGGATTGCCAGTTTAGGGGATAGCCATGGCCGCCCGTTCCTGCGCATCGGTTGCTCTCGTCAACGGCCGACCGGTGGTGTTAGAAGGTGTTGTGCTTTGCCGGCAGCCTGTGCACATGGCAGCGGAATCGGACAGTGGAGAAGAATGGGGATTAGTCTGGGAGCCTGGGGAGGACTCGCACGAGGGTCCTGTGTCTGACTATTCAAAACTTTGTGCTCATTCGTGCCAGTTTCACATTAAAACCTTGTATCAGGCAGCCGCCTGTTTCGGTGTGTCTTTTGTTGACTGGACGGATGAGCGAGAAAACAAACCAAGAATACCTGTTTGGTACTGGCTGTGATATTTGTACAATTTCACCAGGACTGGAGAGGGGATCACAAGGAAATCCCGCAAAGACGGATTGACCGAGTGAACCACCACGGGGAACCTCTCGCACAAGCGGCCGAGACCCTGTGGGGGGATAAAAAGAAAGTTTCGGAACATTACACGTGGAAGAAAGGCCACACGATCCTGGCTCTAACCCAGGGGTGTTAAACCCAAGGCCCGGGAGCTGGAGTCGGTCCACAGGGTGCTTAGACCTGGCCTGCAGGGCTGCCTTGGAAACAACAAAGGACCAGCCCGCGGTGCCTCTGCTGGTGAAAACGGAGCTCCACTGCCACTTTGCCTCCTGGGAAGCCGCCCCTCCCCCCTGGGAATCCAGACTGCATTCCACCACACCTGTAAGCAGCAGATCAGAAGAGGCAAATGGGCGATGATCACTTTGCTGGAGGTCTTGGACTGCAACTTTTCGGACAACCGGATGCACAGGTTTTCTGCCCCTGGTTTGCAAGAGAAAAACTCTTGTTTGAGGAAATGTCTCGTGGGAAGAGATGCAAACTCAGACGGAACCCAAAAGCTAAACAGAGACAGGTGCGCTCGGGCACACCTTGAAGTGCAAAACCCGTGCAATCAAGGTAGGCCTTTTCAGGGACAGTCATGACCAGCGACAGTCACTAGATGAAAAATCATGCTTTACAAGTGCAAAAAACAGTCTTTTTTCATTGCCGTTGTAACTTCGAATGGTCACTAAACGAAATGTTGTAAGTTGAGGGCTACCTGTACAGGTGGCCGAAAGTCATCGAACGGGGCAAAACTCACTTAACCACGGTCTCACTTAGCAACTTAACTCCTGGGCTCCGTTGTGGTCGTAAGGCGAGGACTACCTGCCTATAAGACTCACCTTGCTCATCTTTCACAGCCCAAACCATGAGGTCCACACAGGCGGCGTTCGCCTGGCAACGCAATTTCAGCGGATTCAGCTCGTTGTGCAATTTATCGACTTCGTGAAGGAGCTTCTGAAGTTCCGGCTGGCTAGTGTTGAATTGTTCCAGCACGAAATCGTGAATTTCTTTCACAAAAGAGTTGGGAAGTTCTAAGAGATGGAACAGACAAAAAAATAAATAAATAGGTAAGTAGAATTCTGACAAAAACCATGTCTGGACATACAGTGATGGTTCAGCAAAAAGGCCTCAGGTTGAGGGAAAATGCTGCATCCTAAAACTAATTGGCCCTTCTTTCAGAACCAGAAATATCTTTTATTCCCCTTTGACAAACGTTCTTCATACAGAACCACTCAGTTTTCTACAGAGAAGCAACAGGGGAATATTCTCTGGGACTCTGGGAATATTCAGTAGGAAAATGGCTTAGCTATTTCGTGAAAACCCATGCAATTTTTGGCCACCACGATGTAAAAAAGATCATTGAGACTCTGGAAAGAGGGCAGAGAAGAGCAACCAAGATGATTAGGGGACTGGAGGCTAAAACATATAAAGAATACTTGAAGGAACTGGGTATGTCTAGTTTGATGAAAAGAAGGACTAGGGGTGACATGATAGCAGTCTTCCAATATCTGAGGGGCTGCCCCAAAGAAGAGGGAGTCAAGCTATTCTCCAAAGCACCTGAAGGCAGGAGAAGAAGCAATGGGTGGAAACTAATCAAGGAGAGAAACAACCTAGAACTAAGGAGAAATTTCCTGATAGCTAGAACAATTAATCAATGGAATGGCTTGCATTCAGAAATTAAAAATGCTCCAACACTGGAAGTTTTTAAGAAGAGACTGGATAACCATTTGTCTGAAATGGTATAGGGTTTCCTGCCTGATCAGGGGGTTGGACTAGATGACCTTCTCCCTCTTCTTCCTCTTCCCGTTCCCCTCTTCCTCCTGTTCTGTTCTATTCATTTTGCTTCTACTTCTCTCCTCCTTCTCCTTCTCTTTCTATCCTATCCTATCCTATTCCATTCCAATGCATATTTTCTATTCTATCCTATCCTATCCTACCCTACCCTACTCTACTCTACTCCATTCCATTCCATTCCATTCCATTCCACTCCATTCCATTCCATTCCATTCCATTCTATTCCTTATTCCATTCCATTCCTTTCCATTCCATTCCTTATTCCATTCCATTCCATTCTTATTATTCTTATTCTATTTTTACTCTTCTAAATCACCAGGAAGTCAAAAGCTTATTAGTGCCTCTTCGTGGCCAATGATCCAATGGAAGTTTCTTCGTCTTCTCAACGCAATCGTCCTACCTTTCATATGGTACAGGGTGTCTCTCAGCATCTTGAATTGAGCAACGTACAGAGAGTCGCTGAACATCTTGTAGAAGAGCTCAACGTGCGGATTGGCCTGTAAGGCATTTAATAGAAATGGATCAATTCAAGAGCAAACTTTTAAAGCATCGGATTTGCACGGTGGCGATTCCTTTTTTAAAAAAATATATATATGAAAGGACAAGTCTCCCAAACGAGCAATTAACCAGCCTGTTGACTTTGATCCAGCACATGACTGTGTAAGAAACCAGAGTATTTGGATGATTAATCCAACCAGAGAACCAATCAGCTGCTCAGAATTTAAATATAGCTCCAAACAAACAACCAATCCCACAATCAAGTGACCACATACTAGATATATATAAGCTAAGGAGGAACAGGACAAGGACATCCTTACCTAGTCTGGTCACAAAATGTCCTGAAGCTAAAATGAAACAACCTTGAAGAGCAAAACCACTGGCAGCTTCTAAAACCCGAGCTACGAAGTATTTTCAAAAATAAACGTACCTCGATAACTTCAGTTGCCACTGCATCCAGGTTTTTGAGAACAGAGTCCCCAACTATTTGCTTGACCTACGGTTGAAAAGAAAGATATATGCGTATAAAATCCAAACGTTTGCAAAACATTTTGAGCATGACGTGGATTGTGTAGGTGAGCCTGTTATAGGTATTCCTTGACTTATAACCATTTGTTTAGCGACTGTTCAAACTTACGAAGACACTGGGAAAAAGTGACTTGAGACTATGGCTGTTGTACCATCCCCGGGGTCACGTGTTGTGGTTAGCCGGCAGCAGGTGCGGATGGCTGAGGAGAGTGAGGACTCAGATGAGGGGCCAGGAACAATAGGAAGTGGACTGCTGCCTTCAGAGATTGTGGGGGCTGGCAGCAGCAATGAGGTGGTTCCCGAGGAGCCCGTGCCAAGTACACATACGCGCAGGATTGCTCATAGGACAGAGCAGTTGCAACAGCACGGGCGACTCGGGAGTGAGGCTGCAAGGTAATGGCCCCTCCCTCAAGAAGATAAAAGCCAGCTGTGAAACAAACATTCTTTGCAGAAGGCAAAGACGTTTTGAAACTCCAGCCTCGTTGACATTCCAGTATCCTGAGTTTGTATTTGAAGATTCTTGTATTGCAAATTATTTCTTATTTCTTGTTATCTTTCAGCAAGTCTCGCAGTTTGGCAAGGCTTGTGCTTATCACAGCTAATTATTTTGCAAAAGCATTTTGCAAAAGGTTTCTGTTCTTTTTGCATTGTGTTTGATTTGTCGGAAAAGGGCGTGGTTAAGAATATCACATGACCTCCATTCGCAACCTTCCCAGCAGGCTTCCGACACGGGAAAAACAAGGGGGAAAGCCAGATTCACTTAACAACAGCATGATTCACTTAATGAATGCAGTGATTTGCTTAACAACCCTGCCCCCCCCAAAAAGGATTGCAAAATCGGCTGCAACGCGCTTAGCAACTGCTCTGGTTAGCTAATGGACATTCTGGTCCCAATTGCAGATCTTTGATTAAAGTTTCAAGGACACTTTTAGCCCTGGAAATTACAAGCAGTCATTTGTAATAAATCAGTAATCCTTACCCACAAATTCTAACAATTTGGTAGCTAACAGGAAAGAGTTAATAGCTTTTGCAAGTCCTCGTTTTTAAATATTTTCTGGCTGTAGAGAACTTTATGCTACACTGTCCCAAAGGTGCGTTTTTCAGGAGGCAGCTGGATGTTCTTGTTTTTTTTTCTTTTGAAGATATTTCGTTTCTCATCCAAGAAGCTTCTTCAGCTCTGACTGAAGATGGTGGGGAAGGGAAGGATTTATACCCCTTGCAGACAGCTGGTCATTTGCATCCTTTTAGAGGGTCGTTGAGGCCACTTGGAGGTGTGTCTGTGTCCTCAGGGTCACCTGAGTAGTGCAAATGCAGCCTTCTGACTGGATGGAGGGGGATGGAAGGATAGATACTCCTTGCAGACAGCTGGTGATTTGCATCCTTTTAGAGAGTCGTTGAGGCCACTTGGAAGTTTATCTGTCACCCGAGTCGTGCAAATGGGGGTGGAGCCTTCTTGAATATAAACTCATCCCAAACAGCCTGTGCCTGTGTTCAACAATGAAGGGACACAGGGAAAATGAACAACATCCTGCAGAAGCCACAGCTCCACAACACAATCCTTTCCAGCAGTTCCAAGAAGGCTCCACATCCATTTGCACCACTCAGGCGACCCTGAGGACACAGACAAACCTCCAAGTGGCCTCAACGGACTCCTCGCTGTCTGCAAGGAGCATAAATCCTCCCATTCCCCACTATCCCAGTCAGAGAACAAGAAGCTTCTTGGATGAGAAGCGAAACGTCTTCGCAAGAAAAAACGAGAAAGTCCAGTTGTCTCCTGAAAAAAAAAACAAAAAAACACCTTTGGGACAACCATGACCCGGAGGACTGAGAATTTCCACAGACCTTTACCCTACCAGGGATAAATAACTCCCAGGGGCGGCCCACTTACCATGTTCAACAACTGGCGAAGCATTTCTAGCGGAATGTTAAACTCCTTGTTACTAATCCCATTAAAGAGGGGCGAAACAGAGAAACTGGAGCTGATGGTAGAGAAATAATATTCGGGATCGACTGCGCTTCCATCTGGCAGGTAGGAACCTGCTTATTAAAGAAGGGAAGAAGAAAAATGGTAACCAACCTCTTTTGTCGCCCACGGAGACAAAACGGAGAGAAGGAAGCAAAGGACGCGTTCACTCTCTCTTTTTTTTTAATTAATATTTTTTAAAAAAATGATTTTATTTATTTTCAAAATGCATATGAAAATTTACATTTTAACAGTTCTGTGTCAAGCGTTACTTATATACTTAAATACAATATTTACAATTCTTCTCCATATCAAACCTTGTTTCTCTTACCTAACCCTATATATATATATATATATAACATTTCCCAAACCTCATAGAACTCAGACTCTTCTTTCTCTTTTAGTTTCCTTGTCAGTCTGTCCATCTCGGCACAATCAAGTATTTTATTTATTCTCATGTTTTCAGAAAACAGGACGCATTCACTCTCAAAGCCGATCGTTTAACCAAAGTCCAAGAGGTTACACCAGGGGTCTTCCAACTTGGCAAGTTTAAGACTTGTGGACTTCAACTCCCAGAATTCCTGAACTAACACGAGTGGAGGAGGAATTCTGATAGTTGAAGTCCACAAGTCTTAAAGCTGTCAAGTTTGAAGACCCCTGTTTAGACTTCTGACAACAGCCAACAAAACATGGCAGCTTTAAGACTTGCGGACTTCAACTCCCAGAATTCCTGAGCTAACATGACTGGAGGAGGAGTTCTGGGAGTTGAAGTCCACAAGTCTTCAAGCTGTCAAGTTTGAAGACCCCTAAGTGACACGCTTCATTAGATTCCTTAAGAGTGCAAGAAAACCGTAGCACTGACAGAACTCGCACCTACTGGCTTTCACTTGAGGATTTCAGGAGGTTGCTGACTGCAGACGTGTTTGCATGACCAGGGGATCATGGCTTAGCATGGGTGGGGAATGCAGGATGGGTAACATAACAAATTCTTGCTGGCCACTGTAGGAAGTTGGCCAGCACATCAGTAGTTGCAAAAAAAAGGAGAATATTTGTAGCTCAGGGTTGAAATGAGGGGTCCGTGGTGCTCTCTGAGTTTGGTGGTTTTCTTGCAGTCGTTTCATGATCCAACTAGATAACATCATCAGTGCTAGAAGGGAGTGGGATTTGTGGAGGAGGAGGAGGAGGAGGAGGAGGAGGAGGAGGAGGAAAAGAAGAGGAAGACGGCTGTGAGGTTCTTGGTGTTTTCTTGCAGATGTTTCAATACTCAACTAGACAATGAAGGCTAAACCAAGTAACATCATCAGTGCTCATTATCAGATTACTGATGTTATCTAGTTTGGGTGATGAAACTTGTGCAAGAAAAACAACCAAACTGAGAGAGCACCAAGGACCCCACAGTTCTCTTCCTCTTTCTCGATCCTCCCCTTCTCCTCCTCTCTGCACACCGCACTCCCTTTAACACGGATGATGTCACCTAGTTGGGTCATGAAACGTCTGTAAGAAAACCAAGGTTAGAGAGCCCCAAGGACTCCTTGCATTAGTGGCACAAAATGAGAATATCCAGTGACCGGAGAAGGAGCCAAGTTGGCAAAGAACGCAACTTGGGGACAACATTTTCATATATTATATTCTACATGAATTAGCTGATTCTGTTTTTTTGCAAAAGAAAAAGGAAATACCTTCAAAATACTGTATAGCCGTTCCTCCCGGAGAACCAGGCGGAGGGATCCCGCGATCAGGACTGACCTGAGATGGAGAGACGGGTATGAAATACCATCCAACGGGGCTGGGCTTTGCTCTGTCCTACTAGCTGGGTGGGAAAAATTAAGACGATAACTAAAATATTTCAAAGAAGGGCCACTGCCTCTCATTTCCCCTTGGTTGGTGGTCTTTTGAAATCCAAGCATCTTTCGGGCTTGAAGAATCGGGGCCTCACATTAATTTCCAGTTCAGCTAATTTATTGCTCGTGCCTCTGCAGTACGTAAGAATCTAGTCAACTAAAGGCCAGCACTAAATTGGTGCTAGATAAGAGTTAAAGGAACATAGCTTTTGTGGCTAAGGAGGGACTAGAATTCACCCTCTCCTGGTGATTGGCTCAAAATCACCCAGCCAGTTTTCATGTCTAAGGTAGAACTAGAACTCACCGTCTCCTGGTGATTGGCCCAAAGTCACCCAGCTGCCTTTCACAGATAAGGCGGGACTAGAACTCACCGTCTCCTGGTGATTGACTGAAAGTCGCCCAGCCGGCTTTCATGCTAAGGTGGGACTAGAACTCCTAATCTCCTGGTAATTGGCCCAAAGTCACCCAGCCAGCTTTCATGCCTAAGGCGGAACTAGAACTCACAGACTCCCAGTTTCTTGCCTGGTACATTAACCACTTAATTGCTCCGGGCAGAGTTACTTCTCATCCTCATCCTCAGGACCACTATTTTTGTAGAGTGGTGCGGTGGCCTAGAACTCACAGCCTCCCGATTGTGGGATTCTCACCTCACAATCGTGAGGCTGTGAGTTCAATCCTAGGTAGGGGCAGATATTTCTCTCTCTGGGCACAATGAGAATATATCCGCTGAACAAAACTCCACATTGGCAACAGGAGGGGCATCCGGCCAGTAGGCACAACATCTGGTCGGTGTCAAAGTGAGCGTGGAGTTCAAGACATGGTGGGGATACAAGTAGATTTCATTCTAAAGGCAACCGAACCTGTGAGATGCTGGAAACGCTGCTTGTTTTCCTCTTTAAAGATCCTTCTTGGCAGACAGTCAGCAGGGAGTTGGGAAGAATAGAGCGGAAGTCGTTGAAGGAACGCCTCCGAATCCCGTCTAGCTCGCTGGAGGCCCGGCGGGAATGCGGGGTCACTTTGGGGAAAAGCTTGGACAGCAGAGCCTCTTCTGAGTGGCTGTAGCGACCAAACGCCCGGGATATTCCGATTAGGCAAGGCAGGGCGTATTTGCACAAATATTCTGGAAAACAAGAAGTTGGGAGTTTATCGACCTCATCCGATAAAATGGCGGTCCCCAAACTTTGGGGCACAAGAGACCGGTTTCGTGGAGAAGGGTTTTTCCGTGGACCAGAGGGAGCATGGTTTCGTGTGCTGCCTCTACCCCATGGATGAGACTGTTTGCACGGCCCAGTTTCTGGCATGCTGGGGGGTCGGGGTCGGTCCGTGGCCTGGGTGGTTGTGGACCCCCTGCAGTAGAATGTTTCTTCCAACCAGCAGTTGCTACGTTAGCTTTCTAAAAACTCTTTTTTTTTTAGATTTTATTCATAAACATTTTTTGAATACAGCGTTTTGACCGAGTGTATTAGTTATAAAAACACAAAAAATGTAGCTAATACTGTAAAAAATATTGTCCCATTTACTACTAATAATAATAATATAATAACACATACTGTAAATTAAGAAGTCTAACAATACTATCATAGTTTCCATACAGTACAATTCCCATTCTTTGAGTTTAGCTCAGAGATCTCCAAACTTGGCAACTTGAGCGGAAGTCGTTGAAGGAATGCCTCCAAATCCCGTCCAGCTCGCTGGAGGCCCAGCGGGAATACGGGGTCACTTTGGGGAAAAGCTTGGACAGCAGAGCCTCTTCTGAGTGGCTGTAGTGACCAAATGCTCGGGATATTCCACTTCCCAGAATTCTCCATGGGAGTTGAAGTCCACAAGTCTTAAAGTTGCCAAGTTTGGGGACCCCTGGTTTAGTTCATTCATATTTTTAGTACTTATACCAATTATAGTTGTATACCATCCCCTGTTTTTGATAAGACTGTTCCTTGTTTTCCTTCCTCTAACTTCTACCCTTGTTTTTAACCACTCGTAAAATCTATTCCATGTCAAATAGTATTCTGAGTCTTCTTTTTCTCTTCTAATTAACATTAATCTGTCCATCTCAGCACATGCTATGATTTTCCTGATCACCTCCTCATCTGCTTTCTAAAAACCCTACGGGTAGTCCTTGACTTATGACCCATCACTTAGGGATTGTACGAAGTCACCACAGACTCTCACAAACGACAGATAGTCCCCTTGACTTACAATCGTTTGTTTAATGGCTGTTTGAAGTGACAGCGGCACTTTAAAAAAAAAAGTAACTTGTGATAGTTTTTCATACTAATGGCTGTTGCAGCATCCGCGGAGACGTGATCAAAATTCGGACGCTTGGCAACTGGCATGTACTTGTGACGGTTGCACTGGGCACGTGTGTGTCACGCAATCACCATATTAAGCAGAGTAAATGGGGAAGCCAGCTTTGCTTAATGACACGAGTCACTTAGCAACTGTGGTGATTCGCTTAAGAACCACGACAAAAGAGGTCGTAAAATGGTTGCGTGGCTCGTTTAACAACGGTCTTGCTTAGCAATGGAAATTTGGAGCTCATTCCTGGCTGTTAAGTCAAGGATTAACTGTACTACAGTCTTTTGCGGATGAAAACAGTGGGAGAAAGCGGAGCTGAATTTAACATTTGTTGTTACAAGGAGCAATATGACATCGGAAACGTATCTTGTTTACCTTTGTCCTGGATCTGTGGAGACTGACACATTCCCAAGAGAACTTGCAGCACTTGTAAAATTGGCTCCAAAACCTGTAACGGTAAAGGGCGACAATTCAAAATAAAAATCTAGGGGCAGAGTTAACATTACGTTAAACGCGTTTCATATTGTAACTCCAGGCTGTTAACAATAGAGGGTAACATAAACTAACCAAAATACTAACAGTAATGTAAGGCTACAGAATGAAGTAGTAGCGTTGTGCCAGAAGGTTGAAATGAAGATAAAGCCAGAGCTGCCATTAAATTATCTCCTTCTGTTTCTAAGCACCTGATTGCCAACAGTTGAAAGCATTCTTGCAAAAAGAGAGTTTAGCTGTCTTCAAAGAAAACCATGGAAGACCTTTGGGACTTTAAAATGACAGGGAAAAAAATCAGTTAACGGTCAATGTGTTGAATTGCATATGGCCACTCTTACCTGCCCCCTCTTTTTTTTTTTAATTTAAATTTTTATTAAGTAAACATTAAAAATAGTTGAACACAATGTGATTTTTGTTGGCCGTCATTTTGGCCATACATACTACAGTACAGAAATACATGTAACAGTTAATTTTCCCTTTTTCCCGACATTGTTAATATAATGCTAGTTACATATTTGTTTCTATTTGCATTTATATAGATATTTATAACCTGGCTTCTTTTTCGTCTCCTTTTTCCCCTTGTAATATTTATATTCATATCGTATTTGTCCATTACATTTCATTTTTTTAACTTACAAAATTTTTACTTTCATTCCTATAAAGCGTCAACAATTTTTTCTTTTCCTCGAGTCCAACCATTGATACCATTTTACTCCAGACTTCATAGTACTGTCTCACCCTTATCCTTAATATCTAGAGTTAGTCTGTCCATCTCTGCACAGACTAATATTTTCCTTATTATTTCGCTTTCTATAGGGGTATCTTCATTCTTCCAGTTTTAGGCATACACCAGTCTCGCAGCAGTCATTATGGGTAACATTAAATATATTGTTCCTTTACTATATTTCTCATCTATAATTCCCAGTAGGAACGTTTCTGGTCTAAACTCTATTTTTTGGCTAACCATCTCTTCCATTCATACCTTTATTTGCCACCAATATTTTTTTGCTTTTACACATTTCTACCACATGTGTTAGTAGGTCCCCATCTCCATGTTGCATTTCCAGCGTTGTGGCTCTTACCTGCTCTCTTAAAGATGCATCTCTGTAGGCCACATCGGACAGCAAGGTCACCAAACAGAAGCTGAAATTTTCTGCAACTGGGAGGGTGCCTATAAGTGTGGTAATTAATGGAATAGGATTGCGATTAACCAGATGAACGCATGCCAGCGATCCACCCAAGACCAAGATGCAGGAGGCTTGGAAAGCTTTTTAGTTTATTAATTAATTAAATTTATTTGCCACCCATCCCATTAGTGAGTCATGGAAGTGAACACAGTGCTGAACCTTCACCCCTTTTCTTACTGCCTGGCCTCCCAAATCCAGCTTTAAGAAGCTGACATCAGATAGCCCAGGCCAGGGGTCTGCAACCTTAAGCACTCCAAGAGCCATTTGGACCTGTTTCCCAAAGAAAACAACGGAAGCCACAAAACCTGGGTGGGTGTGGCCAACTCAACGTCACTCCCACCCAATCACATGACACACACATATATACACACACACACACACACACACACACATATGACCATGCCTACCCAGGTTTTGTGGCTCCTGGTATTTTCTGTGGGGAATGGGTCTTTCTCTCTCTCTCCCTCCCTCTCATTTCTGTTTTTTGTTTTACCTTCTCAGGCCAGGCGAGAAGTGATTGGGAGGGGAGGCCAAGGGGCGGGGCCAGCCAGTGGTGGGATCACCCAACAGGGAGCCACACCAGAAGGCCCAAAGAGCCGCATGCGGCTCCAGAGCTGCGGGTTGCTGACACCCGGCCTAGGCTATGCCAATGCTTCTCAACCTTGGGGACTTTAAGAGGTGTGGACTTCAACTCCCAGAATTCTCCAGCCAGCACACGGAATTTTGAGAGTTGAAGTCCATACATCTTACAGTTGCCAAGGTTGAGACACATATGCCCCAGCCTAAAATCTAGCTAAACTCTTCCCCACCTCAAAAAACAAACAAACACAGTTTAAAAAGTCACCTCGGCCTTTTCGCGAATTGCTTTCTTCAATCCACTGCACTTTGGGAAGGCCTCTCAGTAGCCGGAGAAGATAAGGGATGAGTGAATCCTTGTGCTGGAAGAAGGAATTGTTTTGGTTTTTTTAATGTCACAACAACAACAGAATGCAGCAGGAAAATGTTATCTCAATACTCTAAGAACGAGGCCAAGCCCAGCTCAAATGCATTGCACAAACGATCAGAATAATCTGCACAACGTGGCTGATAGGATTTAAGCAGAAAAAACAGAGAAAAGGGCCTCACAAAAGAATAGAATAGAATAGAATAGAATAGAATAGAATAGAATAGAACAGAACAGAATTCTTCATTGGCCAAGTGTGATTGGACACACAGGAATTTCTCTTTAGTGCATATGCTCTCAGTGTACATAAAAGAAAAGATACATGTGTCGAGGGTCAAGGATCATCAGGTACAATACTTAATAATAGTCATAGGATTCAATAAGTAATCAAATCATACTAGGAAACAGTCAATATAAATTGTAAGGATACAAGCGACAAGGTTACAGTCATACAGTTGCAAGTGGGAGGCGATGTGTGATAAGGAGTGATGAGAAGATTAAAAATAATAGTAGTGCAAACTTAGTACATACTTGGACAGTGTTGAGGGAATTATTTGTTTAGCAGATGGATCGAGTTTGGGAAGAAACTGTCCTTGTATCTAGTTGTTCTGGTGTGCAGGACTCTATAGCGTTTTGAGGGAAGGAGTTGAAATAGTTTGTGTCCAGGATGTGAGGGGTCTGTAGATATTTTCACAGCCCCCTTTTTGACTCGTGCAGCATACAGGTCCTCCATGGAAGGCAGGTTGGTAGCCATTGTTTTTTTCTGCAGTCCTAATTACTCTCTGGAGTCTGTGTCTGACTTGTTGGGTTGCAGGCCAGTGTTTGTCAACTATATAAGAAGTGTGGACTTCAACTCCCAGAATTCTCCAGCCAGAAGGAGGAATTCTGGGAGATGAAGCTCCTCGCATCTTAAAATCGCTGAGCTTGAGAAACACTGTTTTAAACAAGTGAACATGGCTAAACAAGTTTAGCAAACGTGAGATATCACGGTGTTTTAATAGTTTTATTTCAGTATGTGGAGTTTTTGGCCGGTGCCCTGGAGAACCCGAGGAAGGGGGCGGTTGTAAATCTTTTATTTTAAATGTATTAAGAGAATAAAAGGGAATGGTACCTGCAGGTCAGACTCTATTAGAAAAATTCCCAGTGCAATCACAGCATCTCTGCGGCGTTCGTCCAGCTGAAAAATCCCATGGATGTCCACCGGACACATGCAGAGAAGTTTTTGGACCTATGGGAGAAAAAGAAAAAGGAGGATATACAGGTAAACCTCAACTTACGACCAAAATTGACTCCAAAATTCCTGTTGCTGAGCGAGACGCCCGTTACACGAGGTTTGCAAATTTCTATCGCTAAGGAAGACATTTGGGTAAGCGAGATTTCCCGTTTTACGACCTTCCTTACCATACTTAAGTGAATCACTGCATACGTTAACTTAGCGACAAGGTTGTTGAGTGAATCTGGCTTCCCCATTGACTCTGCCTGTCAGAAGATTGTAACATGGGACAAAACTCACGCACCAAATGTCTTGCTTAGCGACAGAATTTGGGGGCTCAGTTGTGGTCATAAGTCAAGGACTACCTGTATAGACGTATACTATACTCATATTGTGCAGTCCCATCCTATGCATATTAGAGGCATGCAAGCTCGAAGCAATTCAACAGGTAAATAAATCTTTATAAGATCGCACTTTGAGATCATCATCTTCTTTTAATGATGCCATAATCCCTTGGGGGGGGTGGGGGAGTCTGGGCAACTGAATGGAGCTGAGTGTTTCCTGGCCGGATGCCCTTCCGGTCGCCAATGTGGAGTTCTGTCAGCAGTTATATACTCATTGTGCCCAGAGAGAGAAATAGCTGGCTCTACCTAGGATTGAACTCACAGCCTTCTGATTGTGAGGTGAGAGATCCACCTTTAGGCCACCTCACCACTCTAAGATCGCACCTTGAGATACTTTTCAGAAATCAGTATTTCTGGAACTAGTATTTATTTATATCCCTTTGTTTTTTTACTGTCCTCAATACTTCATTGCTCTCTGAGCACTCAATAGAGATACAGAGACTTAAATGCAATCTGGTAGGGACCAAAACAAATATTTCTGTATTAGTGAGATATTCTTATCCAATTTGCCTATTAAACAGCCATAAAAACAAAATATATAGAGAAGGCATCACAATAATCAGCCAAAAGCGAAACTCATAAACATAGGTACCAAAACCACACCATTACAGGTGTGGTATAAAAATGTACAGAGAGCTGTCACTAGAAAAGCCACAGCAGTGAATATGGTCTCAAATGAAAACCTGAATTGTAGGTTAGGTATATAATCCGCAGACGGACAGATGAATGAGAATCAGCCAAAGATAACTTGGTACAGAAAAAATTGTAGAGAAATCTGCAATTGTGTGTGTGGAAGAATACAAAACCGGTTGCAATAAATTGGGAGGTTGACTTGAGCAAATGTTTATTGAAGTCCGGCAAAAGTTTATTTTTACTTTAGACCTTTAGCAGTTACAACTTTACAGCCTTTATAAGAAAACAATCATTCTATGTGGAAAAAAGGAACAGTGAATACACTTTTATCAAAACAACCAGTCACCAAGTTTAGAAAGAAACTCTCTAATCCAGTGCTTTTCAAAGCTGGGAATTTTTAAACCATGTGAATTTCAAATTGCAGAATTGCTAGCTGGGGAATTCTGGGAATTGAAATCCACACATCTTAAACCTTTCAAGTTTGAAAAAAAAAACCCTGCTCTAAACTAAGAAACACTGATCCTGTTCTTAATCGCTTTAAAAAATTCCACAATAATCTAGGAGGCTTACTCCCAAGCAGAACATTCAACAAATCAGCTCAGACATAAATCTGATTTAATCTAAGCTACACCTACATTGGGTAATAATAAAAATTCACCAGAACTCAAATAGAATACCTTTATTGTCATTGCATTCCACGAATACAATGAAATTTGAAAGCTACTCCAGCACAGTGCCTTAAACACCACATCACAATCACACTACAGAGTTTAAAAATTAAAATAATTATAATAATAGGACTAAATACAGATACAGATAGATAATCAGAGTTGGAAGGGACCTTATAGGTCATCTAGTCCAACCCCCCACCCAAGTGGGAGACCCTACACCATTTCTGACAAATGGCAGTCCAATCTCTTCTTGAAAGTCTCAAGTGATGAAGCTTCCACAACTTCCGAGGGCAACTTCTGTTCCATGAATTAATTGTTCTCACTGTCAGAAAGTTTTTCCTCATTTCCAGGTTGAATCTCTCCTTGTTCAGTTTCCATCCATTATTCCTTGTCTGGCCTACAGGAGCTTTAGAAAATAGCTTGACCCCTTCCTCCCTGTGGCAGCCCCTCAAATATTGGAATCATAAATGCAGGACTCAAAGAAACAATGACTGACTGTACTGCATTGACTGATAGATCATCCTAGCAAAAAGGTCTACCAAATTAAAAAAAAACAAACTTGGAAGCAATTGAACAGCTTGAGAACAACACTTATAAATGCTGCAGACACCGAAAGATATTCCAAATGTCTTTTAAAAGAAGGGGAATGAAGAATGTTTTTGAAACTAAACAGGTACAAACATTCCTAATTGCACAGAGAGAGTGGAAACACAATTCATATGCATAATATTGTTAAAGCACAAGCATTTCCCAATAATGTGTACCTGGTTATGTAAATCTTTATTATCATCACCTGACAAACAGGTGGATTATCTGACAAAAAGCACTGAACTTTCACTGAAGTTCACTGCTATCATGTCACTCCCTAATTTTTCTTTTCTCTAGTCAGACCCAAAACCTGCAGCCGTTCTTGATATGGTTTAATCTCCAGGCCTTTGATCATTTTAGTTGCTCTTCTTTGAACTTTTAGAATACATGGGACCCTTGGAGGTCTTCTAGTCTGGCCCCCTTGTTCAAGCAGGAGAGTCCTAGACCGTTTGAGACAAGTGACTGTTCAGTCTCTTCTTAAAAAACTCCAGAAGAGACTGGACAGTCACATTTGAAACTGTCTAGGGGTCTCCAGCTTGAGGAAAAGGGCTGGACTAGAAGACCTCCAAAGTCCCTTCCCGCTCTATTCTGATTGATTGGAATGGTCAATGGACTAGAAGATCTCCAAGGTCCCTTCCTGCTCTATTCTGGATTGATTGATTGATTGGAATGGTCACCTCCAAGGTCCCTCCCAGTTCTGATTGACTGATAGGGTCCTCCTGCTTGAGCAAGGGGGCTGGACTAGATGACCACGAGAGATCCCTCCCACCTTTATTCTACGACCGATTGATCGATCGGTTTCCGCGGCCAGCCCTCTTTGTCATCCTCTTCCCGGCTGCTCTTAGCGGTCCAGGCCCCGAGAATCCCCCCATTCACCCCACCCCGCGACCCTCGACGCTCCCCCCCGCCCCCCCCGCCCGCCTGCACCTTCTCGAGCGGGGCGGGTCTCTGGACGGCCAGCGAGCGGGCGAGCGACAGCACCGTGTTGAAGTAGAAGCCCCGCGACGAAGCCGGGCTGCCCTGCCTCTCGGAGCGCGCGGCGGTTACGGCCGCCGCAGTGGCAGCCGCCGCGGTGGCCACGGCCAGCGCCGACATCTTGGGAGAGAGAGAAGCGGCGAAAGCGAAGCCGCCTCCACAAGCCGTCACGGCCGGGCCACGCCCCTCACGCCGGGCCACGCCCCTCACGCTCCTCAAGGACGCGCCCCGTTCTCCTCTTCTCGCGAGAGCTGCCCAGATTGCGACGCAGCGAGGGTTCGGCGCAGGCGCGCTATCGTTTTCATGAACCCCCTCCCCTCCCCAGGGCTGTAGCTCCGCCCCCCTAGTCACGGGATGGTTCGACCCGGCGACGGCAATCGCGGCCTTGTCCGTGACCGGAAGTGAGGCAGAGGACGGGTAGCCGTGGGTGGCGCCTCAGGGAACCTACGGGATGGGCGGTTAATTGCCGGTTTCTCGTCGGAGAGACTCCAGGCAGTGACGTTGATCTGCTTCAACGGCCTGTCTTTCCTCTTCTGGAGCTTCGGGGGTTCCACAACACCCCTGCGAGGTAGGCTGGGCTGAGGGAACGGGCGGCTGAAGTGACGTCGCGCTTGTTTATCCTTTCGGGAGATGTTTTTTTTTTTTAAATCGACATTTGAATCCTATTACTTTCTTTGGTGGGGTGGGCGTCTCCTCTGAGCGGGGCTTCACAACGGCCCCGCGAGGTAGGCAGGGTTGAGATAGATGGCCTCAAGATCCCCTCCTCGGTGTGCTTCCTGACAGAGAATGAAGGTTGAGGGTGTCCAAGTTTTAATTACCCCATTACTGACTTCCCCAATTCGGTGATTTCCACTAAAACTACAGTGGGACTACAATGCCCATCATCCACAGCTAACCTGGCTTCCTTCGGATGTGTTCCCATCATCCCCGTTTATCTAAATTATTTATATAGCTGCCCATTTTTCAGTCAAATTGGGGCTACTCCCAATGAAAGATTTATTTAAAAAAACATAAAATCATTTGAAAAACTATAAAACTCAGCTAGTTAAAATATGAAAGGTTAAAAACAATAAAAATCGGGCTCCTGTCGCCTCCAGCCAAGATTTAGTAAACAAATCAAATATACTGCCTAACCTCTCAATGCTTGAGGGAAAAGCAGGCATTTAAGGCGTTAGGGGAAAAAAATCTTCCATTTTCATATATTTATTTATGATATTTACAGATACAGATAATCAGAGATGGAAGGGACCTTATAGGTCATCTAGTCCAACCCCCCCCAAGTGGGAGACCCTATATAGCTTCTTACCTCATGAACACAACTCTAGGAAGCTTACAATAAAGAACTGGTTAAATCAAGACAAAAGTTAAACACACACTAATATAATAATAGCAATTATTAATTTTATTAATGTGTATTCAACTTTTATTATAAAAACTGAAAATAATAAAAATTAATAGGCAAACAGACCAATATTCTACATATAGTACTACTGTATAACAATATTGTGGGTTCCTCCTTAGAGTTCTGAGCCTGCTTGGAAAAAAAATAATAAAGCATGTTTTCGGGGATTTCTTAATACTAGAAAAATCAGAGCTGATCTCAGCTCAGGAAACATTTGTCCTTGTGGCTTGCTATAACAATAAATTGAAAAAATAGAATTGGGTCAAATTAATAGCTGTTTGAGGGTTTGTATATTTGAAAAATACCCTTTGAAGCAGGAACAAATAGCCTTGAGGAGTGAGGACAAGCTTCTTATGCGGAAGTGACATTGCCCTAGACAGGAAAAGAATATTTTGTTTTGGGGGTTCTGCAATTAGAACCCTACTCAATTGGAGGTCAATAGAGATCCAAGCTGGGAAAGGATATGAAAATCAAATTAAGCATTTTGAGTCAATTAAAATTGAAGGAGATAAACAATATATATTCCTGCAACATTGCTGGAAGGTACAGTCCAGTTCTTTAAGTTATTCTAAATAGTTGATGATTAAATACAGAGTCCTTCCAAGGAATTTTGTGGCTTCCTATGTCAATAAGTGCTCATGTGTCATTTGGTGTCTTGCTACAGAAGTTTAGTAGATAGTGGTCAATAGTATTTACTATTTCAATAGGTAATAAAATATTATTTCATGAAATAGTAAATGTGGAATATTGATTTAATTTTGCAAAATGGGACCTTATCTTTCATGGGAAAAGAACCTGCTTTAAGCTGTGTAAATTGGCTCTGTCAACATGCTCTGATGATAGTTTACTTATGTATTTACCTTGTACTTTTTAACTTTAGAGAAAATCTCAAGTTTTGAACAAACCTTTCTTTGCATTGGGGCTTATAACTGAGACTTGTACATACTATAATAATATTTAAATGAGAGATCTAAAATGAGATATTGTGAACAGGCAGTAAATTGTTCATAGGTTGTTTTTTATTGTTGTGCTGTTTTTTTTTTCTGTTAGATGCCAGTCTATTGACTAAGTTATTCTGGGTCTTGACTCATTCAATGAGAGGCAGGTAATTATTTGATTGCCTAGAACAGAATGTCTTGGGCCTTTCCTAAGAATGGCATTGAAGTTGACTTTTTCCATTTCCAACGTGTCTTCAGCTACGCTAGCTGCGAAAAACTGCCCACAAAGCAGTTTCAAGATGCCTGGAAAGATGAATTGTCTGTTAGAACAGCAGGACTTGTGGCTCAGCTGGTTCACTTTGGATTTCCTGAAATTGTGTTGAGATCAGCAAAACAATTGTTAAATAAATTTTGCCCCATTTTATGAACTTTTTTTTGGCCATAGTTGTTAAGCAAATCACTGCAGTCGTTAAGTGAATCTGGCTTCCCCTATTGACTCTGCTTGTCACAAGCCAGCTAGTAAGATTACATATGGAGGCCACCTGATTCCGGGATGCAACCATTGTAAATACATACCGATTGCCAAATTTTGATCATGTGACCATGGGAATGCTGCCATGGTTGTAAGTCACTTTTTTTCAGTGCTGTTGTAGTGCTTCAAATGGTCAGTAAATGAATGGTTGTAATTCAAGAACTATCTGTATGACTATAAATATGTTTCATGATGGAAATTTCTTTCTCTTGCAAAGTTTGGCTTTTCAATACATTGCCGTTAATCCTTTTACAGGAAGGACTTAATCGTCATCTGAAAAACACCGGCTTCATTCTGTCCTTGTAAACCTACATTATAAATAGAAGCGACCTGACTTTGGGGCTGCAGCAATGTCAACTTTCCCCAAAAGTTGCAATCCTTTTGATGATGATGATGACGACTTCAAGCCTGTCAAGTGGAATGAAGGGGAAGAGCCTCCAAGAGAAGGTCCAGACAGACAAAGATATTTACAACAGGAAGTCATGAGGCTCTCAAAATCGACTCTAGATAGCACCAACAACTCACTGTCTCTCATTTATGAGTCTGAACATGTGGGAGTCGCCACATCAGAGGTAAACAAGAATCTTGAAAACATATTTTGCAGTGTTTGCATGCTATGGAAGTAAGGCTAAACAAGGTAATATCAGAGTACTGACGATGTTTCCTAGTTAGTTAATAAAACATCTTGCAAGAAAACAACCAAGTTCAGAGAACACCAAGGATTCCACAGTCCTCCTCCTCCTCCCTGAAAACCCCACTCCCCTCTAGCACTGATGATGTTACCCAGTTGGGCAATAAAACTTCTGCGAGAAAACCACCAAGCTGAGAGAGTACCAGGGACCCCCATGGTTTAACAATCCTAAGCTACAAATATTGTGAACTATTGGTAATTATATTCTATATTGTTACTGCTTTAGCTTAACAAAGAGAAAGTCACAGTCCCTTTTGCATAAACTGTGTTTTATTGAGGAATTAAAATACCAGCATCCCTTTTGCCGGTTGTTTTTTGTTTGAAACACCATGTTGCTTTTGGCAGGAACTTGTACGGCAAGGAGAAGTCCTGAAGCGTACTGAACGCATGGTGGATAAGATGGATCAAGATTTAAAGACGAGCCAGAAACATATCAATAGCATTAAGAGTGTCTTCGGGGGCTTCGTCAATTACTTCAAAGCCAAGCCACAAGACATCAAACCGGAGCAGAATGGAGCCTCCCAATATCAAGGAAGCAACAGGTAGACAACTGAGGTTTTTCTTCTAAGGAAGCAGGAAGTGGGTGGGCATCCGAGTTCATCCATGCCCGAATGACATTCGGCTTGAATTTATTACTAGATTTTTATCCCACCTTTATTACTTTATGATTCAAAGTGGCAAACATACCATAATACCACCTTCCTCTTTCCCCATAAAAATAAAAGGGGGGAAAGGGGTTTGAAAGAACAGTGCGCAGCTCGGAAATTGAAAGTGCATTCCATAAATAGTTTTTCAAAAATAGTAACTAGGAGACTGTAGTATCTGCCGTGCAAAATTTTAACTGGAGAACATGATTGATGACTCTTGGCTATGGATGTGTCCCATTGGAGAATATGAATTATGATACACCCAGAGGGGTGAGGGGAAACCAAGGTCAAGGGTGACAGTGAATGATGTTTCTCAGAGTTGGCAACACCCAGGCAGTGCCGGACATGTTAACTCCCAATAAATCATCTTTGAGCTTTGGAAATCCAGCTAGAGACTCATGATTTAAATGGGGGTAACTACCGGAATCCTGACAGCAAGGTTGGTTGGGCTGAGAGAGAAGAACTGGCCCAAAGTCACCCAGCTGAAGTCACAGTCTCCTGGTGATTCACCCAAAGTCACCCAGTCAAGTTCCATGCCTAAAGTGACACTGGAACACCCAGTCTCCTGGCGATTGGCTGAAAGTCACCCAACCAGCTTTCATACCTAAGGTCACAGAAGTCACAATCTCCTGGTGATTGCCCCAAAGTCACCTAGTTGGTTTTCATGCCTAAGGCGGGCCTAGGTTTTTCTCCGGGTTTCTAGGCCAGCACCTTAACCACTACATGTCAGACTTTCTGAAGGGGGTTGAGAAAATAAAACAGTCGTCTTCAATGTGCAGACTTTCCAATAAGTTTCTGTGGGTTTGTGGTTAAACGCAAGAGGATGTTGTCAGCCTGAGCTTTAGCTGTACGCCCAGTAAATAAAACATTGAATACAGAAATATAGCAGAAAGGAAAACTTTTTTTTCTAATGTGGTGTTTCTCAACTCTGGCCACTTTGAGAGATGTGGACTCCAAGTCCCAGAATTACACAGCTAGTTTAAAGTCCACGTATCTTAAAGCTACCAAGGTTGAGAAACATTGATAATGCAAAGCTTACTTCTGTTTGGAAGCAAGTGGAGCCGTAAATGCTGAACATGGGGAATTCCCTTTTCTTCCTCTGTCTAGATTAAAAGAAGCATTATCCGTCAGTAAAGAACAGGAGTCCAAGTACCAGGAGACTCATCCAAATTTACGGAAGCTGGAAAACTCAGGTTTGCTTGACCTTGCTTGTTTAAAGGCTCTGCATTTTATAGAACTTGAACATTGTCATGATTATTTTGGGCAGCAGAGCTCTATAAGAGTTCCTGTGTTTATTAATCAGAAAACCATCTTGCTTAATTTGGAGGGGAATGTGTGCTAGTCTCATATGAGGTAGGCCCTTGAATATGACTTAGTTTTTAAAAGGGATGTCCTTAAACCGGCATTTTCTTCCTTCTTTCCAGACTTCAGTTCCAGTGGAACTAGTTCAAACAACCCATCCCAGTCTGATCATTACCCCAGGAACCAGCACCTCCGTGCTTACCATCAGAAAATTGATAGCAACTTAGGTGAGTCATGATAGTCCACGTTCCCTGGTGTTAATCTTAGTTATTTGCAGATAATATTCATCTTATCACAATTGAGCCCCAAATTTCCATCGCTAAACAAGACTGTTAAGTGAGTTTTGCCCAATTTTATGACCTTTCTTGCAATCGTTGTTAAGTGAATCACTGCGGTTGTTGTAACACGGTTGTAAAACGAATCTGGCTTCCCCATTCATTTTGCTTGTCAGAAGGTCGCAAAAGGGGATCGTATGACCTTGGGACAGTGCAACGGTCATAAATATGAATCAGTAGCCAAGCATCTGAATTTTGATCACATGATCATGGGGATGCTTCAAAGGTAGTGACTCTGAAAAACAGTCATAAGTCACTTTTTTCAGTGCTGTTATAATTTTGAACAGTCACTAATCAAATGCTTGTAAGTTGAGGATCACCTGTATTAAGCCTTCTAGATTTCTGACCATCTTCCTTTCAGAAGAAAAGGATCTTGTTCCTATTTCCTGGAAGAGGAAGAATTGGGAGAAAGCTACCATTATTGTCTTTCCCAGCAGACAATATTTAGGAAAATAAAGTTAATATTTTGCTCAAACCATAGTTAATATTAATCATGTTTGTTGAGCAAGCCACAATGACGTGATTTGCAATGTAATGGTTTACTGACCCTAGTAATTATAGTTAAAAGTAAAGGTTCCCCTTGCACCTACGTACTAGTTGTTTCTGGCTCTAGGGGGTGGTGCTCATCTCCGTTACAAAGCCGAAGAGCCAACGCTGTCCAAAGATGTCTCCGTGGTCATGTGGCCGGCAGGACTAAACACCGAAGGCGCATGGAACGCTGTTCCGTTCCCACCAAAGTGGTCCCTATTTTTCTACCTGCATTTTTACATGCTTTTGAATGGCTAGGTTGGCAGAAGCTGGGACAAGTAATGGGAGCTCATTCCGTTACGCGGTGCTAGTGATTTGAACTGCCAAACTGTCTTAGCCACTGAGCCAGGGCAAATACAGTGCAAATCGCCAAAACACCTCATATTGGCTTAATGCAGGGATGGAATTTGCCCTGCTGGGCTGCTCCAAATCCTCTTTTAATTTAACCAAGGGAATCTCATGAATAGTATTGGATACAAACTGCCTCACAAACCCCTCTGTGTTTGTCTACCTTTTGTGTTACTAATTTTAAGCTTTTGTGGGGGCGGGGTGGTCTTTGCAGATGACATGTCCAGCGGGCTGGGCCGACTGAAAAATCTCGCTCTTGGCTTGCAAACCGAAATCGATGATCAGGATGAGATCCTGAATCGCCTCACCGGGAAAGTGGATACCTTGGACATCAACATCAAGAGCACAGACAAGCGAATCAAGCAGGAGCTTTAAAGGAATCCCGGGGGTGTCTCTGGCCTCTGTTTATCAACTCAATATATTTTATGCAGCTGGGGGCCTTTTCTTGTCCAGCTGCACTGGGGAAGAGCTAGAGAAAAGAGGTTGCTAGTCCATCTTGCCATGTGATTAAAATTGTGAATAGCCTTAAGTGCAATCTGAGAAATTTTAAGCTACTTTCTTTCACGTATAATTCATACAAGCACTCTGAAGCGTTGTCTTCTGGAACTTTCGATTTCGGAGGAGACATCTGGACAATTCTGGACAATGATTGGAAAAGATGATTACACCCTGCCTTTCAGTATTCCTTTCGCCTTAATTGTGGCAGGTATGTGCGTTGCCTACTTACTGCTCACGTATACATTTTTATAAAAGGCTAGTAGAAGAAGAAGGTTTCCCTTACATTTCAAAGCTGGGTTGTGTGAAGATGCCTCTGGTGCATAGGATAAAAACCTCACCCGATCGACTTGAGTTACACCAATAAAGCAGTCATTATCAAGTCAATGCTTATTCCAGTCCAAGACCAGAGCAAGTTAAAAACACTTAAGGAATATCCAGTTAAAAATTCTAGAACAAAATAATCTATATTAAAAATCACAATTTGGCATCCAATCTAGAATTTTTAACTGGCTATTCCTTGAGTGTTTTTAACTGGATCCGGCCTTTGACTATAATAAACCTTGACTTGAAGCAGTCATTTTTTATTTTTTTGGGGGGGGGGTGGTCATTCTCCAAAGTACTTACCTACTTGATTTGTGCCAGTACAATTAAGCCTAGAGTCAGAAAGAAAGAAAAAGATTTAGATGAAGACATTTATCCAAGACTTAAAGCTTCAAGATGGTACATTGGGTTGGAATGCTTCCATGCAAAATGCTGCTGCTTTTGCGGTTTTCTCTAAGCAACACTTCTCTGTAGCTGCTGAGCCTTGATGACTCACTATCTTGTACAAGGTTGTTGCTGCTGCAGGTCTTATTTTAAAAATAATATTGGAAAAGAAGCTTACGTGGGAGAGGCACTCTGACTTTCCACTCAACTGGTTTCAATGGACACCTTTCAACACGGTTAAATTTTACCCGTGAGATCTGTCTTGTGCTTCTATGCCCAGGTTAGTTTGGGATTGTTTGATATGTGGCGGAAGTATCACATGGCTTCCCCTTTCTCCTTCTGGTTGACATTTTATTCCCGCAATGTAACTTCTCTTTTTTGTATGTAAGTTCTACATTATCTGTGTATACTGGATAGGAAAATTCCCATTTTCTTGTAAGTATCTTCAGTAAATCATTACAATGAGGAGTTTTGGAAAGAGCATTTATTAAAACAATTGTTTCTCTCCCATGTTGCTATTTATTAGATACCAGCTGGAAACTTGGGTGTTTCTATGTCGATATCTCTCCAAATTGACTTTGGCTTTAATTCCTAATTCCTTTGCAGTTTGGCAGAAGCCTATTATGGCAGTGTCTTAAGCACATCAAATAATTACCGTAGTTCTTTAATCCACTTCAACTTGTAGCCAAGATAAAATTTCAACAGCTAACACTGCCACAATCGTGAGAAATATTTTTGCCTTCTGTCAAAGTATCTTATTTGGGCACAGTGAAGGCAATTTTTCCAATTATTTCTTCCTTGGGATCTTGGACGCTGATGGTTTTAACATTGAAATATTACGTTCAACGAGGGGAGAAGAACGCACTTATCCTATTCTCCTTGTCCTTCCCGTGGAGCTAATTTAAATCTTAAAACATTTAATAAACAAGAAGACTGCATAAAAGTGCATAGGAAAAATAGCTGTGAATGATCCATTTTGGTAAAATAGCTAAGATACTCGCTTCTCGTGTTCTTCTAGGAAAGCAGTTTTTCATTGAGAAACTTTGGGAAAGCAGCCTGTTGCTCTGTTTTAAACACTTTGCCCACTGTGGTGGGGTGCAATGTTTTTTTTTTTAAAGGATTGTGATAAAAGGATCTTAGATTTTTCAGAGTTGCTTTGGGGCAGTTGCCAAGAAGAAAAGAAGATATTTCTCATTGTGTTCCTTTTGCTTTTGCTTTGATTGTACACGGGCAAAATAATCCCCACAACTGTACCTTTCTTTGAGGTCTTATGTTAGCTACACCTTAAACGCGAGTTCAATATTCCTCTTCTTTCTGAGGTCATCTCCACACACTTCTGTCTTACCTAAATGAAAAAGTCAACTTGACCATGTACTGGGGTATGCACTTTAATGAGCTCTTCGATTGGCTAACTTTCTAAAGTATATCTTACGGTTTATACCCACCCGCTATAATTGTTCTGCTTGCAGAGTCTTAACAGCAGAGAGCAAATGTAAGATGGGCACGAGGCCAGGATGGGACAAAAATTCTTTTGTATTGATAAAATTCCATGGCAAGCAAAACAGATGTTTCCCCTTCTTGAACAACATTTGAATTCAGACAGGATTGAAATCTTGGGGGGTTTTTTTTGTATACCTGTCTCTGCATATTTAATTCCCCCCCCCCCCCGTTAGTTTCTTGAAAGCTTCATTGGGGTTAATTTCCCATTACCTAGAATAATGAGGCTTGAGAATTGTACACAATGGATTTGAAGGCCTTCAAAGATGATGCATTCCTTCCTTGGAAAATGTAGCTCGGTAAATGGTGCAAGTGAACTGCTGAGTCTTTTATCATTTCTTCAGGCATTTGGCGAAACAAATATTGCTGTGCTGTTGTTTTTTCCTACCTAGACAAAACAGATTTTTGCAAAGGTGATTGTCTTTCTCTAACCAAATATTTTCATTCTTGTAACCAGCTCTATGGAAAACGTCTTCCTTTTTTGCTGTTTAGAAGTACATGATCTGTGAAACTGTCTCTCCGTATCTTTTTGCTGTAAACTGAGCGTATTCAAGCTTTATACATAGCTGTTGTTTTATTTTTCACGGTGTGATGGCATCGCTATAGAGTGTTCAATTTTTGAACTATGCTGAACAGGCTGTAGAACTGTCCAGTGGTCAATAAAGAGGGTTATCAATCTTGATTGGTTTTTTGATAATATTGATTATTCAAAATGCATATTAAGTACCTCTATTACTTTACCTGACATGGCTTCCGCCGTAGCCGAAAATAAATTATTGGCTTATTTGCATTCCCAAGTTAGTTATTCTGGGAATTGTAGTTTCAGTATATTTGGAGGCCACTGGATTGGTATAAGTTCATCTGGGATATTGTCAGCTGAATCTAGACCAAAGTTCAGACTCATGCATATTGAAATGTAAGCTTGTTTAAGTAATCTGCACAGACTCAAGATAATGGCCATGTTTATGTATAATCACTTGGTAACTGCAGTAATTTGACGTAGTGTTGAATAATACACAAACTTGATTTATTGGCTCTTCATCGAAAAAAATCAGTGGGATGAAAGCAGATTGTATAAATCCAGTGACAGCACCCTCCCTGTCCAAAAAATAATAAAGGCAATTTTATGACAAAATAGAAGTTTCAACTCCCCCAAGGAAAAAAAAAAAAGCTTAACCTGCTTCCATCCAGTCAACGGATACTTAAAAAAAAAACCAGTCATGATCAAAAGAAAATAGACGGGTTGTGAAATCTGCAAGAAAATTGGAAGAAAATGAAAGCCCTCAAGAAGGTTTTTGTCTTGAATTCCACTTCACATGACCCATGCTGACAGATATTTGTGCTCTTTATTCTGCTTATATCATCTGAGCTGCACGTTGTATATCTATTTATATAAGCAAGGCTTCAGGATCACTGCAGTTGGATCCTGGCTGCATGTTCCATAGAGGAATGACAGTAACATGAGCAAAGGACAGATAATCCTTGACTTATAGCCACCATTGAGCCCTTAAAATTTCTGTCGGTAAGTGAGACCATTGGTTGAATAAAATTTTGCCCATTTTACGATCTGTCCACTGTGGTTGTTAAACGAGTAACACGGTTGTTAAGTGAATCTAGCTTCCCCATTGACTTTGCTTGTTAGATGGTGGCAAAAGGGGATGGCATCACACACACACACACACACACACACACACACACACACACACCTGGACCATCATAAATAGATGCCAAGTTGCCAAGCGGCTGAATTTTGATCACGTGACCCCAGGGAGGCTGCCACAGTCTGAAAAACAGTCATAAGTCCCGTTTTTTTCCAGTGCCGCTCTAATAGTCCCTACGTGAACAGTTGTAACTCAAGGACTACCTATAGATCCCCAGCTCTGTGTGTCACGAACGGTGTGGGTGACAGCAGGATAGCAGCAGCTTAAATCCCACTTTAAAAAAAAAAATGCCCCAAACCGTTGGATGAAGTCACTGTTGTTTCCTCCGCAGCTGTTACTTTGAAAGGGCTGGTGGGTTGGCTCCCTTTCCTTTCTGCCAAGCTAACCGGGCCACAAAACACAGTTTGCGTGCGCTCCCAGCCACCCAGCCCTGGCATGCGATGATGCACTTGCAACCTTTCCCAAGAGCGGGGCCATGGAGACGGAGTTGGCAGCCATCCATGCCCTTTTAAGAGGGGGGGGGGTGCGCCTCCAAACCGCAAACGGTCCCTTTGCATCAATGGCCCATTGAGAGAGAGGGAAGTGGTTGAGAAGCGGGAGGGAAATACTCAAATAAGGAACTGTGTCCTCTCGGTAACCTGGCAGAAAGGGCTTCTCTGTAGAAAACAACTCAGATGGTAGCCAGCATCTGAGCCAGGGGCTTCGTTCCTAGGTTAGATAGATGGATAGATATTGATAAGGCTGGCTAGGTCAGAAAGAGGAAGAGAGAGATAGGTAGGTAGATGATTAGATGATGGATGGATAGATAGATGATAGATGGATAGATAGATAGAAGATAGATGATTAGATGATGGATAGATAGCTGATGGATATATAGATGATAGATATAGATAAATAAAAGAGATAAGAAAAGGGATGGAGAGATTAGATAGACAAACATGGATAGATAAAGATGGATAGATAAGAGTAGAGATATGGAGGGAGTGGATAAGAAAAGAGATGGATAGATACTAATAGACTGAGTAGGTCAAAAAGGAAGAAAGATAGCTATAAGAAAATAGATGGATAGATAAGAAAATGGGTGGAGATTAGACATGGATAGATAAAGAGAAGATATAGATATGGGATAGATATGGAGTTGATAAAGAGATGGATAGATATCGGTAGCCTAAGTAGGTCAGAAAGAGGAAGAGAAAGAGATATTGATAAATAAAACATAAGAAAAGGGATGGAGAGAGAGATGGACAGATAGTTAAGAAAGACGAATAGATAAGTGTAGATAGAGATGTGGACAGATGGAGTAGGTAAGAAAAGAGATGGATAGATACATGTTAATAGATGGATAAAGCAGGTAAGAAAAGATAGAAAGCAATTATTTACTTATATTCTGTCTTTATTGTATAAACTCCAGACGGCGAACATATCTAATACTCATTCCTTGATTTTTTTTCCACAACAATCCTGTGAGGTGGGCTGGGTTGAGAGGGAAGAACTGGCTAAAAGTCATCCAGTTGATTTTCATGCTTATGGTGGGACTAAAACTCACCATCTCCCGGCTTCTAGCCTTATGATTTAACCACTAGACCAAACTTTACTAACAGTCCTCACGTTTGCAAGCTTTGCTGCTCTGCCAAGCGGAGAAAAGCTTAAGTCAAATCCTCAGCACAGTTGTGGTTTCGCTTAGCCACGGCTTCGCTCAACAATCAAGTTGGCCAGTCCCCGTTGTGGTTGCTAACTGCGGACTCCCTGCACAAAGTAAACACAGCCAACAACACATAAACCAGCCACCCACGTAGCCATAAGATAAGTGAATGCAGTTCCGAAGTCAAATCATGCGTGATAGCTGTTGGCACACAGCCACAAGCAGCTCCGCTCCACTACGGATAAATAACACACACGTTTCCCAAATATTGATTTTAGAGTGGATTGATGCTTTCACAAAAGATGGAGAGGATGGGACAGCGCCTGTCTCAGTCTCCCACGTCTCTTCCCACGGCAGACCTCACAGCTGTTTTCCCCGAAGAACCCTGGTTTTGGGAGTTTTCACACACATGGCACCTTGTACCGTAGCTGGAGAAAAAAAAAAAGAAAAGAAAAAACGCATCTTTGGGACATCAAAGGGTCCAGCCACCTGCCCTTTTGCAGTTGAGATGATAAGAGATTAGGTGACTGTGGGCACCCACCTGCCCAGGTGGAATGCTTGGAGGAGGAGGAGAAATGTAGATGGAGGAGGAAGAAGAGGAGAAGGAGAAGAGGAGGAGGACGGAAAGATGATGCTGGAGGGAAGGAAGGAAAAGAAGGAAGAAAGGGAGGGAAGGAAAAGA